AAACAAACCTAAACACTATAGTTAACAGCCTGTACATGTACCATAACATCCATAGTACCAAGACATAAACATAAAACAGCTAAAACTTTTCCTAAATATTCTTCAAAATACTGTCTTTTAAAAGATTTAAGAGATGCATATTCTCTAAAACAGCAGATTTTTTTTATTTAATTGCCCATTTAACTACTTTTTCTGATTTTTTGAAAATTGTTTTCGAACAAAATGTTTTGCCTTGAGACACTCCTAATTGTGAGTACCAATGATATATTCTTTGTATATCTTTATGCAAACAAAGCACACCTTTTGACTTCACAGATCTTCAAACTGACCACTTTATTTTGTATGAAAACTGACAATGGCATTGCTGAAAACATTCAATATTCTATTTAATGTCAGATTCATTGTGCTTGATTAATATATACTACAACTTTTCAATCTCTCTTTTCAATGCCATGATTTATTTTGTTTACAAAATATTACTATGACAACATTTTAAACTCAACAGACAAAACTGTTGTATATATTTGTGCAATTATAATTATTAGATCAGGCCTTATTTTGTACTGGGTCTTGATTTTTGTGTTCCAATTCTAGTATGAATTGCAATTTGCAATGTACATTGTTATAAGTGCTGTTCAAATAAATTTTGCATATGTCTGTTAAGATCTTCATCGTCGGATACCCATGGGTGATCTCGTCTTTAACTCACTACCTTTGGGCAAACTCACTCAAAAACTGTTGTTAATATGCTTTGGACAAGATTTTCATCTTTTTACCTTGACCTTTGATAAAAACTAGAAATATGTCCATATGACAAAAATGTCTCACCTAGAGCTTATCAGTAATGCAACATGAAAATTTGTTGAATAGCTCTTCTCAATATGTATCAACATATGAAGTTTGATAAAAATATCTTGATTTGTTTCTTTTAAACTATGCTAAAAATAAATTTGAGGTCAAAGAAAAGGTCAAGGTCAAATGTAAAAGCAGTTAAAGTTTTGATAAAAAAAGATCTTGACTTTTTTTTTAAAACTATGCTAACAAAAATTTGAAGTTAAGGTCTAAGGAAAGGTCAAGGTAAAAAAAAATTTAATGAAGTTGAATAATTCTCATCAGTACCTATCAGGATATAAGGTTTGATAAAAATATCTTGAAAAGTTTCTTGGAGCTAAACAGTAAGTTCAAGGTCACAGAAAAGGTTAAGGTAAAAAAATACTGATGCACTTGAATAGCTCATCAATATGTATCAACATATGAAGATTGATATCTTAAATAGTTTCTTTGAAACTGAGCTAAACGCAAAGTGAAATAGTGAAATGGAAGGACAGACGGAAGGACAGACAGAAGTCATGGGGGGTATTGGTTCAAGGTCATTGCATACCCTCTATCCTCAAGCACCCTATGGGTTAAGTATGAGCCAGATTGGGCCAAGGGGAGAGAAAATATTCTCTGGTCAAGGAGGTGTTTTTTTTTTAAATTTGATCTTTGCCCAAGAAACTTGGTTCAAAGTCATTGCACACCTTTTACCCATGGGCACTCAGTGAAGTATGAGCCAGATTGGACCAAGGAGAGAAAAAAAATTATTAAGGGAAGTAATATCAGACCGACAGGTAGAAAGACTGATCACAAAAGGGCATCCACAGAGTGAAGCCTTAATAAAATCTTAAAGATTTCAAATGCTCAATAAAAGAATGTACCAATTTTGCTCAGGTCAAGGACATTTTCTACTATTACAACTGTATTTAGTTGAACAGTACTAAAAGTTGAGTATAATAATGGAGCATAAGCTTTTGTGTCTATGATTATTGCAATTTTGGTCTTATCATATGACAGCATCTTCCACATATCTGATATATTCAACAATTTTTCTTACGGATAAATACAGTTTTTAATTTTCTCTCTATCTAAATACATCAAAAACAGCAAAAAAATTACAAAGGAATGTTTTCGATTGAAAAATCAAAAACTTATTCAGTCATTATGCAATCACTTATGACAGTTGGAAGATATCTAATTCTCTTGCGATCTAAATCCCACGCTCTTGCCACCTTCACCATGTAAATCTCTCCAATGCAATCGGCACCCCTGTAAGCTCTTTCTGACAGAAACAATCTCTCCATGTCTGAATTACCTAGGTATAACATTCATTCTTCTGAACAATCGGACTAGTTTCGTGATATTCTGCTGCCAAAGATGCATTGAAAATTAACTGCAAAAGGTCAAAGAGTATTGTAATACCACACCCCACTGATTTTTGTATCTTGGGAGTACATGTTAATCATTATTTAAACTGCTGTCACATTCCTTGATATTTATACATAAAATAAGGTTATTGTTTTATGAAGGCCAAATACTTTTTTCCGTACATGAGGGTTCCCCAAATACTGAATTGAGAAACACAATTATTACTTTAGTCAATTATCCAACAATGAATGAAGATGCGACAGAGATGCTAGATATTAAACAATTAGACTTTTATAAATTCTTGATCTACCATCATTTTTATAGGCAAATACAGGGGCCAAACAATGGTGGCTTTTTCTTCCCACTGGATCTTTTGATAGACCTTTTATTAATTGATTCCTCCATATGTCATCCTTGGATTTTCCCAGGCTCTTCCTGATGTGGGAGAGTGTGATTCTCTCCACTAAACACGCTGAGAGTCATGTTGTTACCTTCAGAAAGCTGGACAATGGATTTTCTTAAACATAATAGGTAAGATAGAAGGAGATCTTTGTGGGGTGGAGCTGCATGACTGGGTTTGAAAAGATAATGGCTTTTGGCCACCTGCGGCACATTTGCACATTTTACATGTCTTTACATAAAATTCACCTATGGCCCCTTGGACCACAAAGCTGTGAAAAATGGTCAAAAAGTGTTTTTTTTGTCCTTTGTGGCCAGAGTGTGTTTGAACAGCAGGCCATGTCAAGGTTTTCAGCCACAAGTTAATTCAGAACACAGAATTGTTTATGAGCTAGAGTGTAGGATACAGAACAAAAATAGTTTCCCCGTTAGTCAAAATAGCAGTGAATTAGTAGTGCCGACCAAGAACAAAGAAACTTAGCAAAGTCATTAGTATACAGGAAGGTGAGACGGTCCTCTACGGAAGAGATAAACATTTGTCCACTTCACTGCAGAGCTATCCTGATGGGACCCTCTTCTAAGAAACATTTCCAATGCTGTATCCAATTAAGAGAAGTAAAATTATTACAATGACATGCTTAATTGCAGATATCAATGTGATTAGTAATATGTACTTCTTTTATCAACTGTTTGCATCAGGGAAACCTGTCACCAAAAGCTTTTGAATCTCTTTCCTGATGTGTTTCAAACTGTTCTCTAGTAAATCCACCCGAACACGTGATGGTTACCAATACAGGATTTATGCTGATAACAGCTACCACCTGCTATCTTATTATCAACTGGCCACAAAACAATGTCATTAGCCCTTCCATAATGCTCCAAATTAAAGAGGGCAATTTTGTGCTTTTTCTGATTTGATTCTTATCTCATTTAATCAGTGGTCCCTGTAGGAGAAAATGGCCACAATAATTGAAGACCCAACATGTCCATCTATCATTAGTCCTGGTTGATAACAATTGTCAGTTTTCTTGAAACACAACTGAATAAGATATTTAATGTGATAGTTTGTGGACAGTTCTTTATGAGTCAAAAGGAGAAAGTCGATAAATGTCTCATCTCTTTCATGTTTTCATTTATGAAAATAGCACTCCTGGATTTTTGAAAATAAAGCATCTTTAATGTAAATTGAGCAAATTGCCCATGAGCCACAGTACTCGCCTGTCTCAGTAATCCATCTCAGAAATAATGAAAATTAATTGAGCATGTCATTTTACCATTTTGCAGCAATGCATTTCTTTTTAATGTTGTTAAGCATAAATGTTAACTCTATCACTTTAGGCAGAAGTCTACCGCTTTTTTACTCCATCTCCCACCTACCGCTTTTATTCGTAAATCTACTCTTCTACAAAATACACAACATCCAGATTAGACATGTTTTGCTGTATTTCTGTATTTCAATTAGAGCACAAGCTCTGATTCAAAAGGTAACTGAAGTTTAATGTCACTTTTTAGAAAATTATAATTTTTGGAAGGGGGGGGGGGGGGATGTGTCGTCATCATATTTTTATTATTTGTAGAATGTACTCAAATAAACACAACATACTCAAATACAACAAATCTCTGTGGATTCAAGAACTTTGCATATTTCCCGAAGCCTGTTTCCCAACACAGGACTCTCAAAAAGAACTTTCTTAAAGACAACGAAAGCATCAATATTGAATGGAACACAGGGTAACAAACAATTAATTGGTTTCTAGGCAGGGCCATTTTAGGCAAAAAGTGCACACAACTCTTTGGATCTTTAGATGTAAGGAATTTTAACCTTTTCTTTTTTTACTTTTTCGCTCTGTGCTTCCTAGTGTGACCCCATCCAAATTTCTTTATTCTTTAAAAATCCTCTAATGAATGCAAACCACTTGAAGAAAATTCAATCTAACGAAGGGTGCTAAGTGTCAAGTTTGGTTAGAATTGAAACTATGGCACTAAAGAACAACTTGATAATATGTCAGACATGACAAGCAAACTTTGAGCAAGTGAGCTAAAAAGAATTCCTTTTTTGCTAATTAGTAAGGAAGCAGAAGGTGTCAGATTCAGGTGCACTTCTTATTTTTTTTAAGAAGGCAAAGAATAGTAATGTTACACATTTTATTATACAAACACATTTGTAGAGTTCCCACTAATACCAATGTGAATAAAATCAGAATTCATAATGCTCCTGCTCATGCTGGTAGAAATAGAAGATAGTCTTTAGACAGGCTGACTTCACTACAGAAGTTGACCAATTTTCCTGTTTCCCCCTCAAAAGGTTCAAACACTACTAATCCTTGACATCCAAAGCCAGAAGAAGAACAATAAATATCAAGGACTTGTCTACTTAAGGACAGACCCCATACCCCAACAATGATGCAATAACTCACTTTCAAGGACCCTTCATGGCAGACCATCTCCACTGCATGGGAAAGATGATCAGTGGAAAAACTTTTCCCTGGCAGATTTTCTGAAAAAAAAATATAGACCTCAGTAAATAATGTTAAAATGAGTTTTTATGGCCCTTATGTCAAGGTTAGTAAATCCACTGTCTTTTAAATCTTCTCCATTGCTAGTCAACATCCAAAGGAGCACAAGGGCAGGGGTTTTTACCTATTGAGTGTATAAAATGATTACACACTACATAAAAAGTAGACTTGGATAGTGAACAAATATTTCTTTTTTTTCAGTATTAATGACATACATACCTTTTTTTGTTTTAGCCAAAACTAATCTATAGGGTGGAGGTATAAATACCAAATTTACATGATATAATGTTTTAAATTTTGAATTTACCTTCAACTAGTAAAAATTTACAACTCATGTGAGTCTGTGCTGACATTATCGTTTTAGTCTTCAATGACATGCTTTGTCAGTAGGGTTTGGGACAAAGTTCATCTCTCCATTTTGTAAGTTATGACACATTTCAGTTGCTGCTATCTTAATGTCATCTGCTTCAAACTACATCTGATACCAAATTTTGTACATTAGTAATTTTATTTTCGATGCTCAATTTTTACATAAAACAAAAACAAAGCAAAATGGGAAAAAAGTTATACAAGGCAATTTAAAACTGAACATCAAGTTTGTACTCACTTAAAAATGACATATTTTTTACTTATTAGATATTTGTTTAAACCATTTGTCAAAAACATTTTAAAAACTTTACATACATGTACATCATGGTTAAGTATTGGAACCTTAAGGAATTTTTTTTTAAAAATAATTTGATTATCATGAAAAACGGTTAGCTACTGACAACATGTCAATGTACATATTATTCTATTCAAGTATGGTCAAATAAGCCCAATTTGCTTATATGAATAAAAACACTCCTAACTTTTTCCCATGCTAGAGAACTACTACAATTGAGCAACTAAATTAGCATAAATTGATGAGATGTTAGAGTTTCACTTTTCATTCCATTAGTCCTGACCACAATGTTGGATAATAGACCTCCAGTAGTTACAGGCAGCATTATTTGTATACAAAACTTGGGACAATAATGTTATAACCAGCTTGGGTCCCAACTTGACCACATAGTGCTAAATGGGTTTAGAGAGATCACCTCGTCTTGTGAATGGTATTTTAATGATTTTGACTTCCATCCAGCACTTGTTGAGTGACAAACAACTATGGCATAGTCATCAGGATACACTACAAAGTTTCATATGGAGAAGGGTCCATAAAATTAATGTTAGTAGAATCAGAGAGACATTTCCCCTGAAATAACAGTAATTCAATGGACGTCCTGTGTTTACGTGACACCAAACAGAGAAACTGTCCATTCATTCTTCTGTCAAACTTTTCACTGTCAAACACGGAATATTTCATTCAAATGCACTGGTAGATTCAATAGCTTAGCATGAAACCTTGTATTTAAAAAAATAGACAAGATCTGCTATTTAGTTATGTTAACAATAAACAAAACTTTTTAATGACATGCTATGAGAAAAATATTATGTAATGCCTAATAAAAAGCCTTCTTGTTGACTCTCTAAGTATTCAAGAGTGTATTTACGATTCAGATCAGTCTGAGTTATGTAATACAATTTACCCTTGGTCTGGAAATGAAAGAAGATAATCTGTAGATGACCTGACCATACAAAAATCAACTTCTTTACAAATCTAATAACTTGATTTAAAACATACTTTATGTAATATTCTAATTTTATTACTAGCACATTAAATTACTCAACAAAATGAAAAAAAAATCAATATCTTAAAACTTGAACTAATTTATCTGAAATATATTCAATACCTAAATTGATTTTGGTTGGCTTCTGATTCTAACTTTGACAAAATTCATTCTAATCAACACCTGTGCTTGCGAGGTTGTTTACTTCCTTTTGCATGGAATGACTGTGATCTCGTATTTCATCAACACCTTACAACTATTGTTAAAAATAGAATTCCACCTGATACCTGCAATTTTTCGTAACAATTTATGAAAATTTAAATACAGGTGTGTCATTGTATTCTGTGTCAATGTGACTATTACGCATCAGACTAAAGCAGGGATGAGATGGTTTGAAGTCAGGTCACAGTGTTTAAAATCTTAAAAAATACTCTGGAATTTTCCTTTAAATTTCATTTATTTTTGTTAAAAAGATTACCAAAGCTTACTAACAGATACATGGCTAAATAATATCAATAAAGGTTTATTAGAGTGGAAAATGAAACTACCCACAGCTGAAAAGATACACATGGTCTGTAGGGTTGTTCATGATGCTTAAAATCAGTCAAGATTTTATAATGGAAATGTTATTAGAAAAACCCATTTACTTCAATGTTGTTCCAACATCAATAGAACTATTTACCCTGCCTGTTTAATGACAAACAAATTATAAGCTGATGCTGTTCATATCAATTTTCCTATGTACTTAAGTTAAAACCAGTAAAGGAACTGAGAAAACCTACAGTAGATTTATTAGCAATAAAATCTGTGGCACTTCAACACTAAAACAATTATGTTTACAGTTCAATAGTTAGAATGCCGTACTATTCAATTAAAATACAATTTTGAATACTGTTACATATAACAGATCACCCAGATGTAATTAAATGCATTCACCCTTCTCTTACATAAGACAAGGTCAATCCTAAATCATCTACTATCTATTAAGATAGTAAAGAAATCCTGAAAGGGGCAATTAAAGCATATTTACAACCCCTTCATTGTGTGCTAATGGTCATTCAGAATCTGGACCCTTAGTGGCCCTATCATCAATGCCAGAGGCCACCTGGGGAAAAACCCTAAACCGTTATCAAGGCTATTCCTTGGAAAATTGTAACCTGCAGCTGAATTAATGAGAAATGTCATTCATTTACAAAGATGTGTTACTACTATGGAGAATTCTCACAGAGTATTTTAATTGAGTGAATAAGAGTTGTGGGATTTGATTGGAAGGTGAATCTGCCTGGCATCCAATAAAACAGCAGGTGACACTGCTCAATGTGTGGAATGAAAAGAGTTATCAGACAAGACCAGTTCACTCTTATAATATTCCAAGTTCGTTAATTGTAAAGAACTTATTTTTGATAGATAAGAATTGAAGTTCCACTGATTTTAGGGTTTCTACAGAAGGTGCCATAACCATGAATGCTAAAATTTTGTAGGGATTCAATTTATCTAACAGATAGATAATTCATAGCTAGATCAGTTTAAAAGCTCAAACAAAAAAAAATGTGTTTGGTCAGAAGTCAGTACTCGGACCTGAACTGCGTACATTCATATGCTTCAGGTTAATTCTACTTGATGCAGTTTATAGACTACCAATAGTATGATGCTCTTTTTAACAAAATCAATTACCAACACATGTATTAAATGTGTAAAACCACCATACAAGTACAAATACTTATGTTATCTTTTTTTGACATTCTTTCATTTTATGAGCATTGATAATAATCAACAAAATATGTTGTTTTCTTTCCTGATATATGTCAGGGCTGACTCACATATTTTATCATTTTAAGTACCAGTACTGTACGATTTCTATCATGTTTTTCTTCCTTAATTATTATGATCTATGAATTCAGACTTTATATCAACAACATCTTAAGTACTGGCTAATTTCTATGAAGTTCGTTACATCTTAAGTACTGGCTAATTTATATTAAGTTAGTTGCTAAAAAAAAATCATACTATTCATTCCTATGTTTTAATTAAGGTGTCACATAACTTGGTTTTTCTATATTTAAAGCCTTAAAAAAATTGTTTAAACAATTTAAATGTTATGAACCAAAACAAAATGAAATAAATGTATTCAGTGAGGTTATAATATTTAAGCCACTTCGAAAGCTCATGAAAGTTTGGTATATGTGGAATCAATAGCGTTCCATCTCACATTATAATGTAAACAATACTTTTGACATCACATGATTAACATGACTAAGAAAACCTTTATATTTTGTCATTATTTTTCATGTCCAACAAAAATATACATAAATAAAATCTACTGTTAATGTATGTAATACTGTAGAAGCTCAAATTTTCATGGGGATAAAATTTCATTGTTATCTAAAAAAGGTTTCGTTGGCATTAAATTTTGTTTTAAGAGTAACTCTATTCAATATATAGTCATATTAGAATTTCGTGTAGGATTTTATTTCGTTTATAATAACAACAAAATAAACAAAATTTTATCCCCAACGAATATTTCTGCCTTTACAGTAGTTATTTCCCAATATGTAAAGTTAGCTAGGCTTTCTATCACAGCTAATAGTTCTTTACAGCCCCATTTTAAAGTTTCCAAACACAAAAACAATCACATTAATCTGTTATCTATTTCATACTGAGGTGGCCTGGATTCAAACTCTCGACCTTCTACTTGGGAACCAAGTGGTCCATAACCCGCCATGTTATGTCTTCCCAGGATATTATCAATCACTACTAGTTAAAAATACACTTCATTTACTGTCACAAATGCAAGAAAACACTTCTGATATCACAAAGCAATTTAACAAAGAGGTCAAGGTCTTATGAATATTGTGTTATGAGTTTTTATGACCATATTTTTTTGATAAAATATAGGATTAACAAAAAAAACCAGAGTTGTAAGAGACACATATACATGTAAGAGATTCTCATCAATGTCGTTCATTTTCTGATCTCATTATTTGATTGCACTACTATAACTTAGCTTACGGATGTTTCACAGTCAGTTAAATTACCTAGCGCACTTTTAAATTGTATTAATTTGAGTCAGAATTCTAGATATCACTTAGCACTTATGCTCTAGAACATCAAAAATTCAAAAATTAAAAGAAAAAGGTTTGCCCTAAATAGTAAACTACTTTTGTGTCCTTACAAACTACATTTATTCAGACCCCCCGAAAGTCAACTCTTTTCTCACTATGGGCAAAAAGTGCATCTTTTAAATTTAGAAAAACTCAAGTAGTTTTGCTGCTAAAAATGGATATTCATTTATTGTATTTTGAGAAACCATGCTTTGATATCTGAATGAATAC